CAATAATCAATTCAAAATAAATTTAAAAAATTCAGTGGATTGGGTCTGAGGTTTTCGGTTGCTTTCAATATCTCATCTTCTCTTCTCACTTACGTTTGATTTATAAATAAGAAAGTGATGTTTATTTTTAAGTAAGCTAATGGTATATACGTTATCTAAGCAATTCAAATTCTTCAGTATGGGTTTACTGAGGTCGTTGAGTGTTACTTAAATCATGAACCGATATAAATCAGACCACTATTGAAAAACTGGAGGCACTGAATGGCCGTTTCGTCTTAGAATCGGGTTTCTCAGCAGTGCGCATCTACGATCCCGCACTCATGAATAGAAATTGAGTTGTTATTTACAATCGGTTATCAGTTCGTTATTATTGAGGGGGAGTGAAGTAAATCTTACTATGTTGGTGATTGTAATAAAATCCATTGAACTAGAAAACAAAACTCGTTCCACACTTTTTTGACTGAACTTGATGTAATCATTTTTGTTCACTATCAGGTAATATAGGAATTTATTCGTTGGAGTGTTGTATTTTGAAAAGGCAGTGATATTCCACCATATATTTTGATTAATAACTATTTAGTTTAACTTCAAATAGATTTTTTGATACAGTCACTGATATGACTGTTTAGTTGGAACCACTATATTTTAAAAATAAGAATAAGTTTCTGCCAATACATTCAGGCTAAACAGTTTTAATCACTTATAAATATGCGAAAAACACCTATAGTTTTATTTTCTGTGAACCCATGATCCCTAAAAGGAGTTCTTGTCAACTCTATCTGACTCCAAAAGAAATCAAATGTCACTAGCTGTGCGATTCCACAAATTAGTAACAATAATGTGGTGCCGACTAGTTGGTCAGTTATCTGGATTTTCTAGTTTTTCAGTTGTGCTCGTTATAAGACCATTCTTTCAGTTCATCAAGTCGTACAGTTTTTTTACCATTATTTACTATTTGTTATTTCTGAAGACCTTATTTTATCGTTGAGGATTAATGATTGGTACACGGTCAAGCGTTATTTTCTATTTGTTTTCATCTGTGACGTGCTTGTACAACTGATAGTCCGTCAAATTTCACATTCTCAGTTAATTTCTAGTGCTCATGTTTCCCTGGGGATAATTTATTGGGAAACCTACTAACTTAATTTATGACAACATTATGTTTCAGTGTGAGAAATGAAGATTGGGGGTTAAGGGTATGTTCAAAAATCTGACGGGTGCTAACGCAAATCTCATTGGTTCGTTCATGAATTATGGGACCAATATTTCCTCATTTGAATTTATCTGGCAATGATTGTCGTTATGACGAGTCGGATATCGTAAGGGTTGGACACGTGTTTTTTTCAGTTTATTATGAGCATAATCACTGGGTTACTTGATTGTAGCAGTAAATAAATCCTCAAAGTAATTAGTCTTGTAAGTCCTTAACATTGATGCCAACCTCATTCGTTTTTCTGAACACACTTCAACTGAAGGCTCTCGGTCACACATTCTCACCAGGAGCGGTGCATATGATAACTAGAAGTATATGGAATTCCATATTATCTAGGAATTCCCGGAGTAGTGCGATTTACATCAAGTAAAATTAGATAGGCACAAACAAGCGCATTGTATTTGGAATCCCAAGTCAGTGATTGCTCAAGTACAAAAGAAACATAAGTTCGTACACATACCGCATGCAACGCAGCGGTACTTCCACTAAGGTTCATCGTTTGCCTGTTCGACTTTGTACTGGATGTAGACCTTGTATGATAACTGATTAATGTAGTAGAATTCTTGATGTCCTTGCGAATCATTTTATGAATTTTCGCTTTTTCATGGTATACGAAATTAGTACAGTTTATACTATTTAGTAGTAGTTCTTGGAGCTTTGTGTAGGGAAGTGAAATAGGCTTATCTATCCATATCAAAGTATTCAGTGAGCTGTGGACATCGTTTTTTGATAAAAGTAAGGAAATAAGCCACAATTTTATCAGCCTTACCATCATCCCAGGTTATAATCCAGCTTTCAAAACTTCCCATGTAATCTTGGAAAGCTTCAGAATTTGAATGTATATCCAGGTATTCGGTCACAGGCTCCATCGCGACGCCAATATGATGATTACATATTTATATATTATATACGGAATTCGAAATCGGTGAGAATCAAGTGCAAATGAATCACTAGTTCGTACAAATACCACAGCACATCGTGCTACACATCCCTTGCAACTACTGACTAGCTTAGACCAAACATATCGATAGCCTTCCAAATATATTTTCAAATTCATCCACGCCTAACTTCTGCTCTGAGTGGTGTTTTAAAACCATGAAATTTTTTGCTATCTTCTAGATCAATGTGTTTATAAATTCCCTTTTGACCGACCTGTTAACTGCTGCTGTACGGTTCGCTATTCCTCATCAGTTCTCAGTCTATCATTCACAGTCTTTCAAGTTTACAGCCAATTTTCGCCTGGTTCATGTTCAACTGTTCCTTTACACTTTCTGATGTTAGTCGGATATCCCTGTACATAAACTATATTTTCATGAAATACTTTATTTGCTTAGGGTGACTACAGATTTTGGACTCAAAGGCAGAGCAGAAAGTGAAGCTACGGAGTAGTCGTATGCCAGTAGGTATTTAGAGGTTGAATCAAGTTTACTATTGTATGTAATTAGTCAATTCAGAGATATGGAGTCTTATAAATCGGGTATCTGATTGATGTATTTGCCGTGTTTCAGTAGTCAGAGATCACACTAAGTACCCTTTACCGCGTTCATTTAAGAATTCAAATTCAAGGAGGTAAATACACTTATGTCAAAATCAGTAAAACAAGTATGTTACAGATCAGTTATGTGGAGAGAATTTCAGAATAATGATTTGTTTAGTTTGGGTGCTACAAGCTTACTCTATTCAACTAACAGCAGATTTGTCAACTAAAGTTGCATAAAAATAGGAAAGCCAAACGCAGAATTTAATTGGAGGTGCCTAAACCGGGAACAAATTTTTCAAAATGAAATCTGCGAGGAATGACTGTGTCGTGACAACACGGTTAACATTACTAATGAGAATGTCCTTCCCGATGACTTACGATAATGGGATAAAACACTATGTCGAACGGTAAAAAAATTTACTAAGCAGTGATCCAGTTGAACTCAATATATTCAGATTCAGATTTATGTGGAAAGAAAGAAGGCCTACGGCCTTTTTTCGTTTGCTAGTACGCTTCTGTGAGTGTCCAGTCTTGTCTTGAAAGAGTCACTTGAACGTGCGGCACCACTGCTTCGAGCAGCAGGTTTCAAATATTGGTGACTCGGCGTGAAAACCAGTATGCCACGGGTAGTTTGTTCGCTCTTGGCCTTTCTACCTGCCGGCTTTGTCATCTGACGTGTCCTGATCTAGTGAGAAGAAAAAGAGAGAATAAGTTGGGTTCGAAATCATTTCTCAGTATGCTGTACATAAAAATTAGATCTCCCCTTAGTCTGCGATAGGACAGAGCAAAGAGGTCCAGCTTTTCAAGCCTCTCTTTATATGGTAAACTCCGGAGTAGCTGCCTTTCGTACTTTTTCTAGGATTTCCGAGACACCTTTTAACAAGGGCTTGCAGCCTGAACTCAGTTCTCAAGCTTAGTTCTTACTAAGGTTGTGTATACTGTGGTGAACATGGTAGAGTCTAACTTGGTGAATGTCCGTTTTATGCTCAGAACAGGGTTGGATGGCGAATGCTGGTGAGCGGCCTATGTTCCTTCACGAGGAGTAACAGGCGTAAGTCAGTCAGTAAGTAAGTAAGAATGTCCGTTTTAAAGCCCAGTGGGTTCTAAACCCCTTATCTGCAACTTCCCGACAATGGGCCGCCGTCTTGAGATCGTGACTCACTGTCACCCCAAGATCCTTATGAGACCGGACCACATGTGATTGCACTTCTCCTATGTTGTACCTATTAACTTTTGAATCCTCAAAGTGCATGTAGACACACGTTGCCGCGTTTATATGCACCAGCCACTCTTTAGACCAGTGAATCATATTATCTGAGTCTGCCTGAAGAGCCCGTGCATCTGTGTCTCCAGTTATTACTCGCCAGATCTTTACATCGTCAGAGTATAATAACATTGGAGACTGTACTTTACTTGGAAGATCATTAACATACATTATAAAAAGTATAGGACCTAGGACGGAACCCTGAGGTAATCCACTAAGTACTGGTCTCTAGGTGGAGCACTCGGAATTTGTTCTTACTTTCTGTCTACGATCTACTAGGAAATCCTTAAGCCATTTTAAATGAGGTCCGGCAATACCAAGGTTTTATAACTTCAACAGCAGTCTATTAGTTGGCAGATTTTCAAAAGCTTTACTGAAGTCTATGTACACAACATACATTGAGTTTTTGTTGTCCAGAGCCTTTACCCAAAATTTCACTGCTATGAAGAGGTTTGTTGTACAAGATAAACCCTTTCTGAAACCATGTAGTTCTCTGTTTAACAAGTTGTTTGTTTCCATGAATGCCAATATGGTCCAATATTTTAACTACAACACTGGTGAGGCTTACATGTCTGTAGTTCGATGGAAGTTGTCTTGATCCTGTTTTATGTATGGAAGTGACGATTGTGTCTTTCCAGTCCATAGGTAAAACACTTTGGCCAGGTGACATATAGAATATCACAGTCAATGGAGCCGCGATATATTGCGCAATATGTCTCAAGATTTTAGGATGTAATTTATCCGGTCCCGTTGACTTTTCCATGTCTAAGGTGCCTTAAGCACATCGTCTTCATCGAAGTCCACGGTGAGCAGGTGGTTTGTTGACTCTGTATTTTGACCTGGTTCTTTCTCTTACAGAACTTTCATAAATTCCCATGACTTCAAAATCACCATAACTAATTCAGACTCAATTAATTTGCGTGAAATGCTGTTTCCTAAAAGAAACGATGAATTATTTAATTCTATCGAACAATGAGAAAACTCTGTGGGAGGATTCTTGTTTAACTGTGCTACAAAACGTTTATTGTCATAGAGTTTTATATTGTAGATTGAAAATGAATTTATCATCTATCTAGAATTTAGCTGTACTTACTTTTAGTTTCAAATGTCAAATTGCTTTAGTTCTCCATATTGTAATTTTGCTGTTTCCGGGTAATTTCCTCTGTAACTTGAGGTCTATCCGATGTGCTCACTGAATAATCGGTATATTTCTTGATTCTTCCTCTTATACAGGATTTCTCATAGACACCACTCCCCTCGCTTTCTAAGCTTAGTTTGTACGCCAGATTCCACATATTAGTTTTCAACTGGTCGTCTATTCTCAAATCAATACTAGTCAGCTGAGCAATTTAATTATTACAATTTACTCACTGACATGGCAGAACTTAGTTATTGTATGATGAGGTCAGCAAATCAAGCAAGAGAATCTGTAAGGTATATTTTTATTGTTGATGAAAACAAAGGAAGAGCAACGGTCCACAGCTAGAAAGAAAAATTTGCTGATATTAGTAATGCATTATTTAAGTGAAGAAGGGTAAATTTCTAGTTTAATTATATTTTCAAAGGTATGTTGAATCAGCGATGTCTCTCTCCAAGGAAACAAATTTAGATTTTAAAAAGTATGAAGTGTGCGATAATGTGGATTTAGAAACAGTTTTGTTAGAATATGAAAGTTATTACTACATAAAATTCCAGAAATATCCTAGAATTACCAAAAAATTATCAGGTTTCTTACATTTTTTATATAATCGATGTCATTTCAGACAAGCTCTTGCAGTGTGAAAAGAAGCGACACGGAGGAAGTTCAATAAAAACAAAGTAAGTTTTTATTTTGTCCTGTATTAGTTTATGTAGACGATCCTCACTTCCTCGACTTTTAAACCGAGGAAATTCTATCCATGACTTTGAACAGAATCATTCATTAAACATTTTGAATTCGGAAGAAAATTCTAGTGTAACCAAGGTAAGGAGGTAAATAGCTTTTTATCTTTTGGCTTTTAATACTTTTATTCACGTAATCTTTTATATGAAAACCATTTTAAAAAATCTTCCTATCCTAACGTTTTTTATTACACTTTCTTGAGGCATAAATATGAGCTCTTTCCGTAACTGATTCAAACGTCACGTCATTGTTTTAACATTTACATACTTGCACTAGTATGTTTAATATTCTTTGTCGTGGAAAATTCGGCTACGTTGCAATGTTCGTGTTGATGAATACTTAAGAACTGTTGCTCAAAAATGAGTCAATCCATCCTGCTGATGACACTTCAGTTTCAGACATTATTCTGTTTCATATTTTTGTGAAATATATCAAGCTTGGCTATTCCAAGGCATCCTCATTCAATGGACTGTGCTATTTTTTATCCTGTAAGTATTGTAATTTCTAGCAATCTAGTCAGTTAGATTCAAACAACGATAAATTGGTGTTAGGTATGACGTAAAATAAAACGCTTGTTGAAAGATGTGTAGATAACTAATGCAGGTGAGCTCTGTCGAGTGATCGGAGGCCTACTCTGGTTAGACGGCAATGGTGTGACCAACCGCGTATTGTCAAACCTCTCTGTTAATACACAACACCGGTTGTCCTTTTGTCGTATCCAGGTACTATGTCTACTTTGATAACCGTACATCATAGACAACGTTATTACTGAAATATATTAGTAAAAGCGGATACAAGGTACAGAGTGTGACCACTGCTGTCCGAGACAGTCCATGACGTGCAATTAACTGATGTGAATCGGTCGTCGTTAACCTTGACAAGGGCCGGTGAACTGTTCGACATTCAGTGATCTGACTTCTAGATGATTTGACTAGGGTTCAGTGACATTTAACTAGATTTACAGATGCTTTTCAATTAAAAATTGAGCTTCGACAACATAAGTTTCAGTAGTTTACTATTTCATAGAATATATAGTGAAATTTAAGTCAAAAATGTCTGAATACTGTAAATATTTCCTGAAAGTATAAATCATATTATAAGTATGTATTTTACGTGTTCATTTTATTTTACATCTTGAAAGTTAGATATTAATTTCTTCACATAAAATTGTATCTATATAGAATAGAGCTTGTAATGGACTAGCTGTACAAGGAAGACAAGACCCCTTCGTACAAACATCAGGGCGCATAGTAAAGAGTGGCATTTCACCAAATGTTCCAAACGGTTCTTCAATCACATCTTCGAACCATCTGGACCCAACTCAGAACTCCTTTTTATCTTCTTCAACAAGACAGAATTTTCCGCGTCAAATTACTGACTACAGAGCGATTATTAACCAAGAAACCCGTTTGCCGTTAGAAGAAAACCAACTTTCAGAAGATCCCCAAGTATGTATTCAGACTATAAGTAAATACATAATAGTGACATTTAGAGGAGATGTATCACGTTTTGTCAGTTGATAGATGTAATCTAAGCTTTATCCATTTTTGAGGTTAAATGGTTGAGCCTTATCAAAGTACGTCATCTTGTTTAAAGCTCATGTTTGACTGAAAACGTCCACTGGACACAGTTCTTGTTTTAAAATGATGCGTAAATTTTTTAAACTTTCAATACGTATAATTTATTCATGCAGTTGAAAATATTACCATCAAAATGTATGAACTGCTTCTGAGTTTTTAAAACAGAAAACCATTATCTACTAAGGTATTTCATCAAAAAAATCAGACGCTCAAATGTTTAACGCTTGTTGTTTTTTACACATTTTTAGATGATAAGATTTCCATCAAGTGATGCCAAATAAAATCGTTTGAAAAGAAGTTGATATAACATAAAATTCTTATAAAGTAACCATTAGTTGTTATTTTTGGTTAGAAAATGACGGAATGTAGTTTATTTTGCGCAATCTCTTAACAGCTAACGGTACTCCTATTTATTAGACAAGCATTATCTTTGTCGTTTGATCTCATAAGCTAATTTTTGTATATCAGCCAGAAGCGTATCATCTAAATTTAGTGACCAATTGTTTGTGAATGTGAACACTCCACTATTTATAAATGTTATAAAGATTAACGAGAACAAGAAGCAATTTTAGTCCTTGCGTTGTAGAGTGCACGTAAGTCAGCTTTACTCGTTAAGATAGAATTCTTACTGAAAAACTGAATTAAAAGGACTCGCAAGTATCTTTGATACTGAGTGATATTTTATGAGAAGTAAACTGCAATTTTTATTATTCAGTCATGGATAATAATGATAGTTTTTAATTTACATCAAATATTAAGATAATTTTAAGCAAACTGTGTCATACGAAGCCATATCAATTGTATAAAAATGTTTAGTGGACTCAATTAAACCACTGGATACCACTGTTACTGCCTCGTGAAAACTAAACGAAAAAGCAAACTGTTTCGTTCCTTTTACAATGATTATCAAAAAATAAATACAATATTTCATATTCCATATCCAACTATGATTTTAAATATTTTGATACACCTTCAAAACGTAGAAAAGCCTTCGTGATTTTTTAGTTCATATACGTCGGTTTTACGGATCTTCCCCTTTATGTTTAAGACTGCAATCGTTTAACCTCCCTTAAAATATATGCATCTTGCGCAGATTGGCTTGATAATGCCAGTAAGCCACCAGTATTTTGAGCAGATGTGGGCTGTGGCTAGCAACGAAGTTCGGGAAGCGCATTTCATTCTATTTTGGATCCGCCAACTGTGTGTGATCGCATCCCAGAATTGATTTTCACTTCGAGACTCAATCTCATGACATTTTTCTTTAATCGCCGTCGCATTATCGACCTAGCTACTGAATACAGATAGTCATTGGCTCAACCAAAGAGGTGAATTTGAATTTTTAAAATCATTCCACTGCAAGCCATCATTCATTGATAATGCTATTATTATCCATAAATGAAAACCTTTGGAAATAACAGTAAACATAATATCCGTGGATAAGTCAGTGACTACATTAACTCATTAACTTAGTGAATAACACTTCCACGTATAAAACAAAAGATGCTGATCATCTTGGTTATACCGTAAACATCAACACTAAATTGCAGGTGGATTAGCTGTTGAGTTCCACAGAAGATAAGACACAGGTTTTAAAATTAACTGCTACCTATTATTACACGGATAGAGTATAATCTAGTCAGATTAAGCACCATTTTTACAAGACAAATAATTTAACTTTTCCCTAAATCAAAAAATTAATAACCTCGTGAATCCTTTGTTTCTGAAAAATTATTTCGCAGGAACGTTTATTGAAGCCGCTAGGTAGTTATTTAGGCTACACAGGTGAATGGAGAAGTTTGGCTTTAACAATATCACGTGTAAGTCCCATTTACTATCATATAGTTTTCCTAATTATATCTTATGTTTAGACTCCAAAAATTAAAAAAACTTCTGTAAATCGATACTTTATTCTAATTCCTACGATTTTATGGGCAACAAATAATGTTTCTTTGATTTAAGAGTCATTGTGATGTTTGGAAATAGACGATCTTGATAAGTCATTTTGATTTATACATTCATGATAAGTTGAATTTCTTCGAGAATATTGTTCAGAAGGGGTTTTCGTGGATATTTTAGTAATTTTAGTGGTTAAGATCATTAGTCAATCGAAGCTAAACCACCACTGGCACATGATCTCAACTACTGAAATTACTATAGTATCCACAAAAGCCCATTTTGATACTAATCAGCATATGCTCACTAGTGGCTAGCCTCAAGAGGTGTTTTCTGGAGTTCCATTGAGAAGTAGTGATCAGTAAAGTCCAACCGGGTCTGTTGTGAGATAATGACTCACTGAAGACAATAGTGGATGTGTAGCTCAGTTTCGTTGATTAGCTGAAGTCTTCATGCAGTCGTTGGTAGGCTCATAGCATTGGATGATGTTGATTGAAATGCCCTCTTTCTTTGTTTTGAAAAAGGCTTTGATGATCCTTAGTCCATGAGATTCCCATCCTATAAGTGCATTTTGTGCTTGTTTGGACAGCATCAATGCAACTCCTTGTGTATGTGGGGCATTTTCTTCATCATAGCCGGAGTATAGCGGAAGCTCTCCTGAAGTTAGCCGTTGTTGTCCAACTTGCGTCCAATGTGTTTTACTAATCCCAAGTACCTCTAGATTGTATCTTCTCATTTCTGCGGCAATTTGGAAGGCTCTCCCGGTGTCCCACATTGTATGAACATTCCATGGATCTAAATAAATGGATGCTCTCGTTGTCAGAAGGAGCATCGGCCTCGTGACTTTTGAAGGAATTTGGCTTTCATCATGAGGCGTCATAGTTCTTCTAAATGAAGACCTTCTGACTCCCAGGGCAGAGTTTAAAAGGTTTGAACAATTTTTTCTGGTTAGCGTTTTTTCAGCGAGTTAGTTTTCTACAGGATAGGGACGCTAACCCCGTGCCCAACCCTCCTCCGGGTTTGGGGCCGTCAGTAGCCCCCGGAGGGACTCCAAGTGGAGTTGATTACGAATGTTGATTAATGTTAAAAACAAAGTGAGATAAATTAACCAACTGGATTACTAATGTGGGTCATTTGGAATGATTTCAGTTAAAGTTTCACAATTTAGATTATTGTCTATCCAAAATCGCGATTACACATGTAGTTTTGACACATATCACCGTTATCCTTAAATGAATATAGAGTACTAACTATTGAAGCGAGTAACTGTGATTAAAGTGTATCGTCAATTGCAGGCCACCTTACATGAATAGTTAAAAGGCCAGAGGTATACGGTTACATGGTAGAAATCTTATGGTTTGAAGATAGTTACACCCATGAGTTGTCTTCCTTCAATTTCTCAGCATCTTATTGCATTGCCCATATCTTTTCATTCTTTTAACTGTTATTTGCCATGTTTCCTAATATCTATTTGTTAACTGAAGTGATTTATCTATTTAAAACAGTGTTATATTGAGAATCCTCGGGGTTTTTATCGCAGTGTATTTTAAATAAAATTTTAGGATATATTCCTTCAAAATCCAAATGTTCGATGGGATGATATAATCGGTCTAAGCTCTGCTAAACGTCTTGTAAAGGAAGCAGTTGTTTACCCAATAAAGGTAAGCTCATTTGAATTAGTCATCAAGTCTTTTATACTATTCTGGCTTATTGATAAAAGAGTGCCAACTCCAACTAGAAAATTCAAACCCAGCTTCATCTACCTTATTTTGGGCAGTCGTTTAACAGTTTTACTTTAGGTAACTTACTTTTTTAAGCATGTTCCCCCTCGTGGAGCATCGGACGCTCACCAAGATTCTACATTTAGCTTCGTTCTGGTCTTTTTCCAACTGTTATTCATTCTATTGATATCTGCCTCCAAATCGCGACGTACTATGTTTTTCAGTATTCCTCTTTTTCTTTTATTCAGAATTTTAAGTTAGCGCTTGGTTTGTGATGCAGTCTGGTGGTTTCCGTAATGTTTGTCCTATTCACTTTCAACATTTTTTCCTAATTTCCTCCCCAGCTGGAAGCTGACTTGTTCACTCCTACAACAGACTTTTGATGGTGGTATCCGCTTAACAAACACTGAATATCTTGCCTAAACAACTGTGTAGAAATACTTGTACATTTCGATGATGGCTGTAGTAGTCCTCCAATTTGCAGCTCCGTACAGTAAAACAGTTTTGACGATCGTCCTGAGAACTTTGACTCTGATGTAATCTGACAGTTGTTTTTAGTTCCATATGTTCATCGATTGTAGAAATGCTGCCCTTGCTTCGCCGATCCTCGCCTTTACGTCTGCACCAGACCCTCCTTGTTCATTGATGATGTTAACCAGGTATGTGGAAGATCCCACCTCTTCCAGAGCTTCTTCATCAAGTGTGACTGGTTTGGTGTTCTCTGTATCGTATTTGAGGGTGTTGCTTTTTCCATTGTGTATGTTGAGGCCAAATGATGCAGAGGCTTCTGCTACAATAGCTGTTTTGACCTGCATTTGTTCGTGTGTATGGGATAGAAGGACCAGGTCATCTGCAAAGTTCAAATCGTCTATTTGCGATTTGGTCTGTGCATGACTGATCCTTACGGAATCCGATCAGTTGATCTCAAAGCTGAGTGTCTACTGAATTCTTCATCCGGTTCAGTAACATCTCCTCAGAACTCCTTTCTTTGGTATCTGGATGAAATGTCTTTCTTTCCAGTCTGTCGGTACTTGTTCTTCCTGAATAGACGTGGAACATGTTTTCAGCCGCTTCTTTGTCTGACTTCGGTGCTTCAGCTAGTATATTTTCAGGTTCTTCTGATTTCTCACTTTTGATTTGTCTGATAACCACGCTAATTTTTTCGATTTTTGGTGGAGTGACAGCTTAGGGAATTTCTAATGGGTTCAGTGAGTCTGGTCTATTCAAACATTCGTCGAAGTGCTCCACTCACCTGTTCCTCTGTTCTGGAAACTAGGTGATTGGCTTGCCTTCTTTGTTCTTGACTGGTCTCTCTAGTTTACTTTATTTCGTACAAGTTTCTTCGTTGCATCATATAGTTGTCTCGGATTTCCTCTATCACTACTAGTTATTCTACGTAATTTAATTTGTCGTCTCCAATACTTCTCTTCACTCGCTTGTTTGCTTTTGTGTATTTCCTTTGCACCTTAACTTTCCCCACTCTTGTTCGACTGCTGTTAATTGCTGTTTTATTGTCCTTCATTTTTTGAGTCTTGCCCAGGCTTTCGACAGAGATGCATTCCCCATGATTATGCTTCTTGCACCTCACTCATCCTGAAACTTTAAACTTTGTACTTCTTTAATTTCTTTCCAGTTGCTCTCCATATCAGTTTCATCTTCTTTGAGTAAATCATATAAGGCTTAGAACCTGTTGTTGAGAGTTATCTTGAATTTACTTACTATTGGTTTATTATTTGTGCAAGTCGGTACTGACTTCTCATTGAAATTCAGAATTGATTAGTCACCGTTAGCGTATGGGCTTCTTAAAGGCGTGAGTTAATATCGTTTGCAAACACAAGTTCGTTGTGTCCTGAGCATCAATGAACAGTTTAACATAGGACTGGTATTTCATCCTGATTTTCAACTTCACCACTAAATATACTTACATTTCAGTTTTGACGCCAACAGTCTTTAAATGTTGACTGTCATCAATTAACATTGCATGTTTATTTTAATATTACAGTACCCTCAATTGTTTGCAGGAATATTATCACCCTGGAAGGGATTGCTACTATATGGACCTCCAGGTAAATTACATAAAGTTTGCATAACTTCAGTAACTACTAGAAATAAAAATCACATCAGAATTTATTCTTTATATCTATCACACAATAAAATTCAATAATAGCTGGATCTACATTTATTAGATTTTCATACCCTAGAATTTTCGCCTTTAAAAAGAAATGAAATGTGACCAGTTGTCCGACTACCTACAACTATCTATTATTGAAATATAGTCCAGAAGATGTTGAGTCACTTAGACTAGTATATATATTGTAATCAGATCAATAGAACTTGATTAGCACCAAAAAAATGAATAAACAGAATACTATTCACTGACTAGTTGCTACTCAGTTTAAATATCTTTTGGTATTAATTACGTAACGTCTCAGAGTGTTCAGCTTGATGACATCAATTTAAATCAAACTGGAAACAACAGTCCACCCAAGACTTCAGTACTTGTTGGTGAGCTACATGTATACATGAAATGTTGTAACTTACATATCTCATTGTGCAAAGTAATCACATGATGATAAAGAGAAAATTTATCAGTGAAATTGTTAAAATGTGAATAAAGTTTATAGTCAATTCGTTTAAAAAAATTGGTTATCAGCAAGTCACACTCAGTTAGTTGTATGAACATACATTACGACGCAATATACTCAAGGATTGTTTGTATATAACATATTGACGGAATCTCGTCTGCTCAGTATAATATAGCTAAGAGAGTTTTAAAGTAATCGGTTACATCCATCAATTAGACTTATTTCGCTTAATTTTTTTCAATGTTATTTACGTTGTTCATTGTAATAACAGAGAGGCTATATCTTATTATTAAAAATGATCTTGGTGGTCTAATAATAGAATTCCGACACCAGAAAATGGGTTTTAAGCGTTATTTAAGCCCTAATGCTTCAGGCTGGGCTATTTCGCTTATTACCCTACATATGTGTTGTATGCAGCATAAGCTATATGGCTATGTAGAGCTGAAGGTCTCATATGAGGCCGGAGGTTCGCCATTGGTATTGTGGATGGTTCAGCATTGCTTTGGAAAGATTTACTGACTGTTCATGCACAAAATTGGCTTGCTGGTTAACGGATTTCATTCATACTGCTGGCTGCTTTTCAGTTTTCTCAAAGGCAATTGTCGTTGGGACATTGTAAGGTATGTCGTCATTGCTAACATCAATGAGTTTGACCGTCGTGTAAGTGAAATAGATCAACTTTGGCCTGTTCGTGCTGTGCATAATTGATTCACGCGATCATTGATCGGAATAACTGTACATGTGACGTGAATGTGTATATGAATGGTGCGAATGGTACACCAGGGTGCTTGGTACCTGTGTGGTTGCGCTACAGGATTGAGCTGTACTATTCAGATTGTAGAGTTAAAGCCTATACGGTGTCTGATTCTCCTGTGGCGCGGAATTGAGCTGTACTGCTCGGGTTGTAAAATTTAAGCCTGGGTGGTTTCCAGCTCTCCTGTTAAACGGGGTTGAGCTGTACTGTTTGGGTTGTCATGTGAAAGTCTGGATGGTGTCTGGTTCTCCTGAAAAAGAATGTAAAATTACCCTGGCCCACAAGGGTATATTATATTACTATTTTAATTATATCTTATTATTACCGTGTAACAAAACATTCCTGTCCATAAATAAGCTTCAGTCAGATCAATCTATAGTGCTTCAGAATATATCAATTATTACATTATGTTGTTAATTTCTAGTCGAGGTAACAGTCCAGTGAAGTTCAAATGTATCAGGCGTGAGGAAGGTGTTCACTGAACACAATGGAAGATGGTCACTCAATATCATGGAATGATTGAATTTAAACTTGAAAACAATTGGATATAGGTTCGGTTGTCTAGAGGTTAGATGTACGTGTGCGAGACCAAAAACCTTGGGTTCGACCCCCAGCTGAGAAGTAGTGGGTGCTGACTACTGAAGAGTTACATACTAGGAATAAAATGCCATTCAGTACTCCCAGGTTCCCAGTGGTTGTCTAATTTTGATTAGTTCATGATTTCAATAGAATTCAACAATTTCCAAAACTTCATATTGATAGCCTTATATACATTTTAGACAAAATATATCTATACATAAACATTAAGAGATTATTGCATGTTATCTTTTTTCCTATACGTTAAACAAGGCATTGTTTTTTTAATTTAGGAACAGGAAAGACTCTTCTCGCTAAAGCTGTTGCTACTGAATGCAAAACAACATTTTTTAATATTTCTGCATCGACTATTGTTAGTAAATGGAGAGGTGATTCAGAGAAATTAGTTCGTGTAAGTTTCTTCATTGATTTTATTCGTGTTATAGTAGTTACATTAAACCTCCATGTAACCATAGGTTTAATAACAAATTTATTTCCCATCTCCTAATAAAATCAGCCGATTGTGATTTATTTTTAAAATAAACAGTTTCAATTCATTAGTTGACTGTAAAATATAAATATTTAATAGTAAGGGGATCCATAGTGACTGTTCATGAATGTTAGTTTTCCTCATAACCAAAAAGTATTGAATAACTCTTCCATCCGGACTTGAAACCCGTACATAGTGTTGACCTTGTCAGAGATTAATTGAGAAACTTTGATTATCGAAGTTCAATAATATCGAAAACAAGACTCTAATATCAAGTGAACTTAGCAGATATTAATTTAATTATATTTGTATATAACACTTTTAGTTCTCATTTGCTTAATTCAAGTATGCATTTATGAACCACTTTCAAATTACAGGTACTTTTTGAATTGGCTAGATTTCATGCTCCTTCAACCATTTTCTTAGATGAGTTAGACTCTTTAATGTCACAAAGAGGTTCACTATCTGGATATGGTTCTTCCGGTGGAGCAAATTCAAATATATCAGTTGGAAATGAACATGAAGGATCACGTCGAATGAAAACTGAATTGCTAATGCAAATGGATGGTCTAGCAAAATCTGATGATCTTGTCTTTTTGCTGGCTGCTTCCAATCTGCCATGGTATAGTTAAATTAAATGTTATGAATATTTGATTCAAAATATTAATGTACCATTTTAAAATATTGCGATTGTTTTTGCATATAAAGTTACTTTATTTATTTTATACTACTCATAAGTAGCCTTTCAGAAATCGTGTAATGTTTACGTCTTCCATTATTGGAGTAATAAAAGCAGAACAAAATTATTTGGATACATTTGTATTTTTACTGCTGTGTCGCTCAATTCTGAAGCTCCCATTGTCAGTATAGACAATATCATTGATAGAACTTCCGATTATGTGAATAGATATCTTCAGCATTACATAAAATGATGATGAATTCGTTTTACAGTCTATTGAATTTTATTTGTGATATCTTAATATTCACAAAAATTCTGAATTAAAACTGATTTAAGAAAACATTTCGTAGTCAGTGTTAGTTGTGGATTAATTCTGATAAGACAACTGATAGAAACCAACCAGGACTTGATGGTAGTGTTTCCAAGCATAAGGTTTTACCGAAGTTCAAATCCATGACCTCGTTATAAAAACGAATATTAGTGCCTTATGTTTTGACCATCCACTTGAAGTACAGTGGTTGAAATCCCCTACTTTAACCAGTTACTGAGAAGCGCTTTACTAAGGCAAAACATCTGATTAATACTCATTGGTTTAAAATAGCAATCCAAATGACAACAGTCTATGGATAATACAACATATAAATCAAGCTAGTATCCCTCAGAAAAAAATAATGTTTCATTGACTGTCTGAACTAATATTATTCTACATCATACGTCACCTCTGCTATTACTTCTACATATACAGGGAACTAGATCATGCAATGCTTCGTCGATTAGAAAAACGGATTCTAGTTGACTTACCGAATAAAGAGGCAAGAATACATATGTTTGAATCATTTCTTCCACCAGTTATTGGACAAAGTACACCAGGTGGATTACAATTAAAATGTTATTTAGATTATGATGTAGCTGCGGAAGTAAGTCCGGCTTTTTTTCTTCATGTTCTTTAACAATCGCAACTTCACAAGTTGATTCATCATTATACTTCAAATGGTGTAATTGTTCTCTCATTTATTTTGTAGTTAAATGTTCCTAGAAGTCTCCATACTTTTCATAATTTGATGCAGTGAATATTTTGCGAACAGCTTATAACATCTTTGTAGAATAACAATGGTAACTGGTCATTAGCTAATAGAAAACCTAGACTACGGCTTTGTATATAATTAAATTATGCCTACTTCATGGATCCCTTGTGTATGTGTACTGAATGTCACTTTGTCGTGATTTTTCAAAATAATTGTTAGCTTTATAACTATTTGTCAGTTAACCTGAAGGTTTAGCTAATCATGACATTGATGATGGTTGGATGGCGGCAAGGAACAATTGTTATCATTTACAAGAACCGTGATGATGTAGTTATAGTTTATACTATTAATCGACAAGTCGCGAAGTGTAAATTGGATAAAATGGTTCCAATGGCTTTGCGTCTCTGCGTGAACACCAGCTTGGATGCAAGTATATGCAGCTGGCAACTCTCAAGTAGGGCGAAACGTTCATTCACTCCATTCCAGTGCTAGTCAAATTTCATCAATCCTATAGTAACTAAAGTCAGTTGATGTTATCATCCATCATGTTCTTTTTAAGTAGTTTGTAACTATAGTAAACTGTTATCAAGATGTCGAAGAAAGATTGTCCACTGGACATTGGATTCAAGTTTTCATTTTCATTTATTATTTTGAAAAAAGTCGAAACGAACACTGATATTAAATTCAAACTGAAGTTTGAGTAATACCAATTTAATGTAGTTGTCTGTAAATCTTGTTGACATTTATGCATTAATTGGTGGGATCATGAGTCAATTGAAGCTAGACCACCATGGAAAACCTGGAAGCACTGGACGGCCGTTTCGTCCTATTGTGGGACCTCTCAGCAGTGCGCATCCATGACCTTGCCTCATGAGATACCAACCCAGAACCTACTAGGTTTACCATGGTGGTCTAGCTTCAATTGACTCATGATCTCAATCATTGAAATTACTATAATAACTTTTTGTTAACTAGTGAATTCATTTGATAAAAATCCTCAAAGTCTTAATACGAAACTGTATTTAGAGAGAAAAAGGTATGGTATATTATAGTTGTTGAGGATGACGCTATATCACTTACTGACTGAATTATTAGACGCCATATCAGTGGTCTAATACTAAGGTAATATGTGCTGTAGCTAAAAGTCTCAAATTTGATTCTTATTGAGATTAAAATACGAATTGCTGAAGAGTTTTACACTAAAGCGAAGTAGTTTTTTTCACTGTTTCAGGATTTTGAAATGGTTAACTAGTTGATCAATTCATAATACTAACTACCTTTATTTATATGATTATGTCATACACATTTCAAGATTTCTCAGTTTCTCAACCCTATTTCTATTTCAGTTAACTGAAGGTTACTCTGGCTCTGATATACGTCTAGTGTGTAAAGAAGCAGCTATGCGTGTTGTTAGAAAAATATTTGACATTTTAGAAAATTCTTCTATTGAAAGTAAGAAGTTTGGTAAAATTTTTTTTTGTTGTTGATGGATTACTAGTGTAATTTCTTATCTCTTAGATAAATATTATAATCTGTACAATTTACACGACACTGTAAATAGAGGTTTATACCATGAAATGTCTCTGGATTTGTAATAGGGACACACTAGAATGTTAGCGAGACACAGCTGTGATTGCATAAACAATTGTAAAATCTGGTTTCGATCATGAATACTTATCATGGAAATATTTTCCCTTTATTATTTTAAGTGTTTCCAGATATGCAGCTAAGACCATACACAGTATCTTGAGGTGAAAATTTCAAAGCTGCTCAACTACGTACTATTATCTTGAACAGCTAAAGCATGCTATAATCTAACCAGTTCAACTATAATGGTTTTATACTAAATTATTGTTATAACTTGTGGTTTTGAGCCCTTATCAATATATAACGTATTGATACTGCCGATTAGGGCACGGTGATTAATCGACCGAATCAATGACACATAAAACCCGTATGAGTAGTCTGGAGTCCTTATCGGTCCTGCTTCCTGCTTAACCTTGCCTGTTAAGTTCAAAACACTAATCTCAGCCTCTGAGATATGAATAATTTATTTCAGACATAATGGGTTTATATACCAACCAAACAGACCACGCCGTACCAAAAAAAGGAAACAACATTTGCATAAGATTCAGCCAAATGTGGCTGTGAATGTACGAGATAGTAATTGGTAGACAGGGCATAATTCAAGAATGGCAAATCGTATAGTAATAGTGCATAGGTCAAAATAAAGCTTATGATAAGAGGAACATAAATATGAATAGTTTAGTTGTATAACAATTATACGGTAAAAATATACGTATAGTGTTAGTCCAGCAGTTGCCACTCATTATTCTCATCGGGATATAATAATTATAATGTTTGGTAGATAACAAGACTTCTGAAAATTTAATTGTTTGATTTCACTGTATGCAGCTTTTCACACATGAGACATTTGGAAAAGATAAACTCATTTTTCACAAATTTGTTTTGCTTTCACCGAAAATGTTCAGTATATTCAATTATTCTCTCAGTAGAGATAATTAAAAAAGGGCATCCATTTGTTTCCCTAATTACATTTTATTGTTTCTAATAATCAATCAGCTACAAGTAAACAAAGTATAAAACTAGTCTACTGGTTCAAATTGTATAACATTGTATATTAAGTTCATATTTCAGTATCAGAAGAAGTTTTGTGGATAATATAATAATTTTAATGGATGAAATCATGAGTCAATTGAATGTGGATGTGTCGCTCAATTTCGTGGATTAGTTGGAGTTAGACATTAACACTACTGGATGCCGGCTCAGTGGTCTAGTGGTTAAGCGTTCGCGCGCAAGACCGATATGTCCTGGGTTCGAATCTTGCGAGGTGGATTCGTGGATGCGAAACTGCCGTCTAGTGCTTCCAGGTTTTCCATAGTGGTCTAGCTTCAATGGACTAATGATGTCGACCATTAAAATTATTATAATATCCACAAAACCTCTTCTGATATCAATCAACATATGCTCACTAGCAACTGGCTTCAAGAGGTATATCTTGTAGTTCTAGTGAGAAGCAGTGACGTGTAGATATTTCAGTGTGTTTCATTATATTATCATTCATAATTTTCGAATCTACAACTTTCATGTTTGTACATTTTTTCAAATTATTTAAATAGATTTACCTCAAACACAAATTCATTTTGATCCAATTACTACAGATGATGTTAAAGCGGCTATATCATCTACAATGCCATCAGCTAGACAATTAGCAGGAAAATATTTAGAATGGCAACAACAATTTGGTTCTTCTTAATCTCATAAAAAGAAAGAAAAACAGACAAGCAAACACACAACTTAAATGCTAAAAATCTCAAATCAATCATTGTCTTTACTCTCTTTTATTTTTGTTTCTTTCATTGACCTCATTTCATATTTTTACACATAAATTGACCTTCATTTTAGGTTATATTAAACAATAAAAACAAATGAAACAATAAAAGCTCATATATGCATTAGGAACTATTTGAACAGTTCAATATTCAATTGTATTCATGTATAGGATATAAATAATATTTTTAGTTGTTTTAATTTATTATTTCCATGTTTGTTAGTGATTGACTAAAAGTCAACGTCAGTAATTGTATATCTTGAAATCATTAGTGATTATGCTAGCCGCCGTTTCTCGTCAAGGTGGAGAATGTCGTTAACATGTATTAAGAGCCATTAAAGTTTATGTTTATTTATAACCTTACAAATTGATTTTCTGTTTTTGTTTCACATCTTAAACATAACATCAAATTGTCACATCTGGATTGACCTTCTGCAATAGCTGTATTAAGAATAGGGAGTGAAGTAGTCGAACACGTCGATATATTCATTTATGTTGGGAGTCTGATCAGCCCACAAGTGTTGGTGTCGGATGAAATCTCAGCACGCTTTGAGAAAGCTCGTTTGGCTTTTGCCAACCTACGTCACCTATGGTGAAGGCGAGATAACCGTCTATTGATTAGGGGACGAGCATACTACTTGACAGTTCGTCTTGTTCTACTTAACGGCTGAGAAACATGGCTATTAAGTGTAGAAGATACTCGTAAGTTACTAGTAATTGATCATAGATGCCTTAGAAATATTGCTCGTATCTTCTGGGACCACCGGGCAAGTAATAGTGAGGTTAGACGCATGGTCTTAGAGAATGATGGTAAATCAGTTGATGGAGTTTTCGTCCACTTGTTGTGTGAGCTACTTAAATCCACGTAAGTAGTATATAAAGATAGTGAAGAAGGGAATGTATTTCTGTAGAAGTTTTAGACGGGAAGAACGAGAACGGAAAGCAATTGGTATGAAAATGAAGGGACAATGAAATCTGAGACTGGATTGACATTTACAAAAAAAATAGTCACGTTTGAGTCAATGGGTTGATATTTTGCAAATTAACTATACAATGTATGGTTCTCAGATTTTAGTCAGATATTCTGTAACTTCGTAATCAAATACATTCAATTGCCTCACTTGTCTACTTGTTCATTACATTTTGTGTCGCTGCCAACCGGTAGGACTACTCGAATAATATTTGATTTAATTTATTATTTTCATGTTTATTAGTGATTAGAAAATTTCTTAAACGATAATTAAAGTCATTTTATTATTAGTACATATATGGTTGGAGACTCTGGATGACATTGGCTCAGAATCGATCACAATGGCGTAGGTGTATACACTTTCTGTCTTGCCTTAAACTATGAGAATAAAATCATTTCATATCTTTCTTTCTACGAACTAACTCTTTCTTTTTGTACTATATCCTTACATAAAATCTTTCCTTTATTTACTATAATATTGAGTTAACTGCTTCTATGAATCCAGTGTTCGTCTTGCTGTGTTAATGAGATGTGTAAACTTGGAACGATTATTATTATTATTATTATTATTATTATTATTATTATTATTGTTATTATAAGCTTTATTCAATATTATATTTTTGGTACAATATAGAATTCTCAGCGCAAATTATTTCAACAAGTTTCTGTTTCTTTCTCCTTGATCGATCCTGACGATAAATATTGAATGATCGCCAGTTAGATGTTAGCAATCCAGTAAATGAACATCTGAATAATGTTCATTATTTTCGTTGTATATTGCCAGCAACCACATTATCTCTTATTGAGCTTTTTGTAACTTTGACAACGAAAGGTTGTACACTTTTCAGAAATGCATCAGGATAGCTTGTGCGATTAATAGACATAATGATATATTAAAACAAACAAAAATAGATAACTTGTTGAAATATCTAGATGGTAGGAACAGGTAGCCCAGATAATCAAGCAGGCCGCATATATGTGCCTGGTCTTACGTTGTAACTGATTGACTGACTGACTGACATGTATTAATTTTATGTGAGCACAATGAAGTGAATGAGCATTCAATTGGCGACAATCAATTTACTATTTAATAGAAAATTACAGAATTATCTTCATAATACATAAGAACTATACATAAAATATTTCACTTGCATATCTTCCATCAATTATCCTTCATATTCTGTATATACCTTCCAATTCACAACTCTTTTCTATTTTCTTCAACTTGATATTTTTAGTCTTCTGCTACCAAGCATTCCATTACCAATTTATGTTACATGCTACTTATGTCTGTTAATATAAGTGGTATATACCATAATTGAACTGAAGTTTTATATTAACTTTATTTATGTGTATACCAGAACAATTTGTCTTAAAAAACATGATTGATTTGTTAAAATGGTGATTTCAAATAAGTACTGATTACTGCTACTGGTATGTGCTACTTATAGTGACATAAGTAGTATATGATGTTAGTCGTGAACAGAATGTCTGGCAGCAGAGAGACAAGAGGATCGAACAGTAAAGAATGGAAACAGGATGCAATTTGTATGAAAATGCAAGAACAATGAAGTCTGAGTCATTATGGGACAACTGATGGACATTTTGCAAATGAAGCATTTACTTTATGATTGTTAAATTTTATTAACAAGTTTTGTAACTTTGTGTTAAACACGTTCGATTGTCCCCACTGGTGTTACTGTACACTACACTGGTACAGTTGTTGGTTACGACTGAGAAATAAATTCAACCTGTTATTCATTGCAACGGAATGAGATTGTTTTGTCGATATAAAGAAATGTAAGAAGACTGATTTATTCAGCAATCATTCTACCATTATGAAATTTAGAATAAATTATCTATCATTTTAAACTTTGAATAATCAATAAATTTGAATGAACCGAATCAATATTTAATCAATAATCTAACGTGTGTCATAGCAAGAAGGTTCACAAACCGTGATCTAATAAACTTAAAGTTGTGTCCCGTTTTTTGTCGACGAGTAGTCAATGACTGCAACGTCTAACCCGAACAAGTGGTATCAGTGAATATTTTCAAGGAGAAGTTGAAGCTTTACTGGAAGGCAATCTGTCAGGATTAACACAGATTCACAAACCTACTATCCATATTACCGAAAACTGAAGACTGCATGCGTATACAGATTTGGTGGATCAGTAAATTAACTGACATGACTAAGAAATATGATTCATCAATAAAATTGCATATTTGTTTTTTTCTCGACAGATTAAACATTCTACTGTATCTGAACAAGATACATTTTTTTCCTGTTGACTAAAAAGAAATAATCCTATAATTATCAGTATGGGATTGTGGAGATTATTATTTTTTTGTTTGAGATCATGAACCTATTGATGCTAGAACATCATTGAAAACCTGGAAGCACTGGGCGGCCACTTCGTCTTGTTGTGCAACTCTTCAGCAGTGCGCATCCACGACCCCACATTCGCGATTCGAACTCAGGGCCTTCGGTTTTGCACGCAAACGCTTAACATCTATACCACTGAGCAGGCATCCAACTGTGTTAATGTCTAGCTTTAACCAATTCACAAAATTGAGCGACCATTTTCCATTGTACTGAGGTAGATACCTGTCTACCTGACACGGATTAGCTCCACCGGTCCACTAATTTTATAGAGATTTCATGGTACTGTATTTAATATTACAGAACCGAAAAACCTACTTTGTCACTCTTCAATTACCACTTCATACTAGTCGCATAATTTGAGAACTATGGTTTCAAAAACGTCGATTGCCATATAACATGTCCAGGTTCTTTCAGTAGAGCAATAAAAGCGACTCTGTGCAAATCTATGACATGATCTCAAACATAGAGTATTTCTAATGACTATTTGGCTGGATAATATAATATACCTACACGGAGTTTTGAAATTAAACATTAACACCATTGGATGACGGCCGGCTCAGTGGTTTAGTGATTAAGCGCACGTGCGCAAGACCAATATGTCCTGAGTTTGAATCTCGCTAGGCAGCATCATGGATGGGCACTGCTGAGAAGTCATAAAATAGGACGAAACGGCTGTTCAATGCTTCTAGGTTTTTGATGATGGTCTAGTTTTAATCGATTTATGATCTCAATTATTGGAATCTGTATACATGTTTATTGTGAGTTGTTTTTTTAAATAATATTATCAAATCAATCAATTGAAACACAAAGAAATGAAATACACAACTAATTTCATATTCTTGATACATCTATTAACTTTCAAATACATAATTGTCATATTCACTTAATGAAAATGGTATATTCATTGATTGACAACTAATTGGATGAGTTAGTTAATAGTTTAATACATTAATAGTAGGCGTAATTCTTTAAGCAAAATGTGATTCAGGTTATAAATTATTGATAATTATCAATGATTTCTTAGTATAAGGAATTTTATTTAATTTTTTTTTCTGGAAGAAAGTAAGTACTGTGGGATTATTGTTATATTGTTTGATTGTCATGATTATCAATATTCTTGGATCGGATTAAATATGTAGTCAAGTTGTAATATGATCGGCACAGATACAGAAGGATCGACTAGCATTTGCCAACTTGCGTTATTTATGGCGTAGGCAAGATGTCCATCTATCAACCAAAAGACGAGTTTACTGCATAGCAGTTCGTTCCGTCCTACTTTATGGCAGTGAAACATGGCCGGTAAGATTAGAGGATATTCGTAGGTTACTAGTATTTGATCATAGGTGTCTTCGAAACATTGCTCGTATATCCTGGGACCATCGAGTAAGTAACTCAGCTGTTAGGAAACGGGTACTAGGTAAGGATGGCAAATCAATTGATGAAGTAGTGAAAATTCATCAGTTGAGATGGCTGGGGCACCTGTTACTTATTCCCAACCACCAACTGCCTTGACGTACGATGTTCAATGGTGTAGGAGTAGGTTGAAAGAAAGCTAGGGGCGGCCAGATCAAAACATGGCACAAATCCATGAAGTCACTGACAAGTGGACTAAGCCATGTTGGTAGGTGTAGGCTACCGGGTTGGGGGCCGCAAGATGATAGCAACCGATGGTTAGAGACCCTAAATGACATGACTCGAAATCGTTTGCAATGGCGCAGGTGCATCCACTCTTTGTGTTCTCCCAAATTCTAATCTTCTGAATTCTTCATGTCTCTTTTTTTCTCTTTTCAAATTTATCTCACTAAGTTATACTCTTTGAATAATATCTTCAAACCCTAAGGTTTCCGATTACTGCTTGTACTTTTACTCCCTCTACTACTACGGGATTCGAAGTGACAATTGTATCTGTGTGCTAATGTGGTATGGCAACTCGAACGGATGTACGTACGTACGAAGTTCTACGTTGTTACTGACTGACTGACTGGTCAGTTCTGAATTTTACTGTAAACTCAATACTAGTAAGATTTTTTTAAACCTTTTATTTGATAAATAACGTCTGATATAAGATCTGGATCAGAGATTATTGTTTATCATCAATAATCAGTTGACGTATCTTTACAGAACTATACAGTTGTTTATAGTTTTAATTTATGATGCTTGAATTGCTTCACAGTTGACAGATAATTGAAGAAAGGTAGTGAATCTCTGAAATAAGGAGAATCATTAAGTGGCGAGACTATAATTTATGGAGGAACTAGTCAAGTATAAGATAACAGGTCTTAGATTTTGGCGCGAACCTCACTCATCCATTTGGTTTAATAGGGCTTTGACATTATAGCTGATGTTAGTTCGTGATGAAAACCCTAAATCTAATTCTTAACCCTAACCATCAACCCTCGTTTGGTCTTAGTTATTAGGTGGACACTCTCAAAGTCACTTTAGTGTCGCTCAAAGGTCGTCCATAAATTATAATCTCACCCATTAAATTTCTGACAATGTAGGAATATAAATTCATTGTTGTTGGAATTTTCGTACTGCAGTAACTGATGATTGTAAGAATGGATGACGTACATGAATAAAATGAAAGACTGCTTTGAACTATCAAGTGTTAATGATAAAGAAACACCATGTTATAGCAATGGTCAGTTATGCAACCGTTATGTAAATCCAAGTCATCAAGGTTTGGATGATATTGGTTTATAAGTCATAAATATTACACATTCATTCATTTACAGATCAATCATTCACATTTTCCACTATAGTAGGTCAATAATATAACACTTTCATGTGATATTGCGTATGTCATTTATAAATTTCTAAACTAAGGGTAAAATAGATTTCATAGAAAATGTAGATTGTAATTAGCACTGTACAAGCATTTTATCTTGTTTGTAACTCTTCATTTGAATGTACCTGCATCTCAGTGATAATGTCCACATTCAGACTCAATCCTAATAACATTCACTTTAAAAGTATATGATATCAATCAACGAACTAGTGGGTCTTGATAGCTACTAACGATTTCAATGAGCGTTGCATTTATGATTATTATCAGTAGTAATAAGTTTTAAACTAATACATATGTTCAATGCTTCATTAAACTATACAACGATTTTCTAACTTTTTGATTGAAATCATGAACCGATTGATGTTAGATCACCTTTGGAAACCTGGAAGCACTGGACGGCCGTTTCGTCCTATTGTGAGGCTCCTCAGCAGTGCGCATCCACGATCCTGCTCGCGGGATTTGAATCCACGGCCTTCGGTTTTGCGTGAACGCTTAACCTAATGGACCACTGAGCCGGCGTCCAATAGTGATAGTGTCTAACATCAACCAATCCATGAAATTGCGCGACCAACTTCCATTGTACTGAGGTAAATACCTGTTTCTACCCGACATGGATTAGCTCCACTGATCACGGCTTCTCACTAGAACTCCAAGAATTCCCTCACAAAGCTAGTCACTAGTGAGTAATTGGTGACATATACAAAACATCAGATTTAACTACTCCTCATTAACTATAAAACCGAAGATATAATTCAGTAATATATAGCCTAAGGATCAATCTTAACTATATCTTAAGTTCAAATTTTTTTTAATACACTGTGGAAACTTATTGATTGATCCACGTTTCGAACAATAGGCGGTATAAAAATGATTTGTTGAAATGTATCATAGAATATACTTTTCAATATTGAAGACATTATGTAACAAGGTTGTTTTGCTTTCATTGGATCTATTCTGGTATTTCCTATGGTAAAAGAAATCAGGTTAAATACTTTCTTTAAATATTTTAAATTATACACTTCTTTAACATCAACAGCGCACTACAACTTACTCATGACGTGTTGAGTAAACATGAATAGGTAGGAATACACCAAACAAAGCATACATCACTACTACTTTTAAAGCTTTAGTTAACAGTTCACAGTATACCAAGTATCAATGTTACTGTAAACTGAAGACTATTTTGACTAAATTATAAAAAAAACAATTTAGCAACTCATATCAATTGTGACTCAATAAGGTTGGGCGGAATGTTTCAGAGACATTTGTTGATAACATGAAAGATAGTGATTCTGGTTAGCATAATATTAAGCCATCTATTAACTGTACCTTTAACAAGTACTCTTGTTATTCTACCCAAACTTTCATTCTTCCTCTTGCTTCAAATTAATCAAGGGAACTATAAGGATGAGAGAACCATTGATTTCTGGATGTTTCAAGTTTAAATGCGAACAAACTTCATTACTTTCATTGATTTGTATCCAAAAATGCCTTATATGCTTATTAATTCTCACCTTAAACCTACTCTGGTAATATTGGCTTATAATCTAGAGTGATTAGGTTTGGAATTGTGTTCACATTACTCTTATTATTATCATTGTTTCCACTTATTCCGTTCCCAGTCTAATTGACCTTTTATTTTTTTGTATATAAATGTTTTTAACAAGTCTATGTGTGATCAGATTGTTCGAAATATATTGTGCTAATATATCATCACATAGTTCTGATAATCTTCGTCTTCTTATTACATTATTGACATTTGATTTAATTTATTAGTGTTTTTACTGTGAATGGACTTAAATGACTTTTGGAATTTTCTATGAAAAAATGTAAATGTAAAATTGATGACCTTATAATCGGTGGAACTTTGTCAATAAATGTAAGTTAAATAATGAAACATATTAACATACTGCATAATATACTTCATTTCACTAGTTGAAATCATGATTCAATTGAAGCTAGACCATTATGGAAAACCTGGGAGCACTGGACAGCCGTTTCGTCCTAGTATGGGACTACTCAGCAGCGCGCATCCATGATCCCGCCCCCCCCCTACGAGATTTGAACACAGGACTTACCAGTCTCGCGCGAGAGTGCTTAACCATTAGACCACTGAGCCAGCCGGTATCCAACGGTGTTAATAAAGAAGGAACCAATGGAGTGGAGAATTTTTTTTCAATATATGTATATATATAAGATAAAACGGGCGTCTGGTGCTCTCAGGTTTTCAATGGTGGTCTAGCTTCAATTGACTCATGATGTCAACTACTGAAATTACTACAATCTCCACAAAACCCCTTTTGACAATAATCAAAGTAATTATTCGAGAATCAAGTAGTTGCTACGTTGCATAATATTTAAAGAAGTGAAGAAAATAACAGAATATTTTGATGAATTGTCAATAGTATAGTAGTTATGTAAGAATCAAGAGACGAATGTTGAGAATAAGTAAAATACAAAAAATAAAACCGGTGACCAGATATAATGATGACCTAATTTCAGCAGAGTTAGCTGAAGGTTCTAACGTTTAAATCCGTTCATTCAACCAATCCTAAGCAACATAGAAATTAACAAAAGTAAGTAATGGATAGAGCGTAGCTCTTCACATGAATATTATGGACAAGACATTTAGGAAAAAACCGGAGTTAAAAGAATCAAAATGATTACATATGTAATAGTATAAAACACAACATAAAACATACGGTTGGGAAAATGATGACATGAATGTATAAGAAACCTTATATAATAAAAGATATAAAAATGAACTTAATTTCACTAGAGTAATCGATTTCAAGCTATTTCAACTTAGATTTTCATTCATAGATAACGATTATTTCACAGACCTTAATAAGAAAGTTTAGGCCATTTGACATAACTGAAAGTCAACGTCAGTAATTGTATATCTTGAAATCATTAGTGATCATACTAGCCGCCGTTTCTTGTCAAGGTGGAGAATGTCGTTAACATGTATTACTTATTGAGAGCCATTAAAGTTATGTTTGTTCATAAACTCACAAGTTGATTTTCTGTTTTTGTTTCACATCTTCAACATAACATCAAATTTACTTGATTGTTTTTGATCTAATGTTAACTGTCTAAGGATATTTTCTATAAAACCGACTGCAGGAAATAACGATTTCGTTGACTGAATTTTCGGGGATCGATCTCCTTCCAGGAGGTCCACTTATCGACATAGAATACTCGGATGACATAGTTTTGTTTGGTGAAAACGCCAATAAAATGCAGAGCCTTTAGGTAGAACTGAGCAGCAATGATAGGATGTTTGGAATGCAAATTTTCACATCAGGATTGATCTGTTGCAATAGCTGTACTAAGGAAAGGGAGTGAAATAGTCAAACACGTCGACAACTTCACTTATGTTGAAAGTCTGATCAATTCAACCGATACGTGGCATCAATGCTTGAAGTCACTAACCTCTAGCCTTAGCCATGTTGGTAGATACAGACTACTTGGTTGAAGTACGCGTGACTATCGTAACCAATGATTGGAGAGTGTTGGTAACATGGTTCAGAGTCGATCTTATTAGAGTCGGTGTATACGCTCTTTGTCTGTCCTTAAACTGTGAGATTATAATTACGATATACCTTTCTTTCTACGAACTAATTCCTTCCTGTACCATATCCTTATATGCAATCTTTCTTTTAGATATTACTACCATTGAAGTAACTACTTCTATGACTTTGGTGATCATCTTGTTGTGTTAATGAGGTATGGCAACTTGGACCAATGCATGTATGTGCCTAGTCCTACGTTGTAGCTGACTGACTGACTGATTATTAATTTTAATTACATTTTCTCTGTATTTAATTAAATTTTAGAAATGCATTCTACAGTACGCAGTGTATTTCATATTTTAAACCTAATCTGTTTAGTAAGTGAATAATCATTGTTTTGATGTAAACTATTTGTTCACATATTAATTATGTTAGTTTAAAAACTACTCAACTGTCATTCAGATTAAGTTTTACATGGACTGTCATAGTTAGGCTATATTGTATAGAAAGATTTTTCGAGTGAGATTTTCATAATAATTCAGCATAACTAGATATCTTACTGTTATGCTTTCATTAGTTATAGGTAAAGTGACTACTATCTGTAGTGTAATTTTTCATGCTAACTGTAAAGGTAAAGGTTAATATAGATTATTTGGTTTGCATAAAGTTTATAGTATCGACTGATAATTTATATGCAACTGAATAATTGTCCAATAGAGTGGTGAACTGACTTTATTCCAACAACTGCACCACGGTATGATAATATATTAGTCAAGAAGTAGTACTCAACAATTGAAAATGGCCGTATCTTGTACCTACTTAGTGAGCTCAGAAAAGACTTCTTAATTTTTCTTCTCATGCTTATGTTTAACCACATTCTAAACTTGATAATCATAATTGGTTGACTAATGAATTCCCTTCTCAATGTATTTCATAGACGACGCAAAGATTTTTCGCTGACAATGTTAGTTTTACGCAGTAGTTAGTTAGACACAACAATTTTTAAGTCGCGGTAGTGATTTTATTTTCGTTATTAAGACATATGTTTACTAAACAATTCTTGAGTAGATTGTAGTGCGCTTTTGATGGCGTTTAACGGAGTGCATAGTTTAAATTCTTTAGAGAAGGTATTTAACCAGATTTATTTTACTATTATGATGATATCAGGCACATGAATTAGAACTTATCATCAACAAAACATATAAAAAGTTATCATCGCGTTTCTCATTCATTATGATATTAACTGGTGATGAAGGCCCTCTAGGACTGTGAGCATGTCATATTCGTTTCACCCACGTAGATGGACGAAGCAATAATCTATTTTTATGCATTATTGATATGCTATAAAGTCTATTACTTAATCTGTAAGTCGGAAAGTTTTGCATACAACTGTGAAATAAGTGTTAGTCGATAACTCTTGAAATTTCCTATTATAACTTATCAATCATTTTCATATGTTGTTCAAAGTGACCATATAAGCTCTCAAAATTTCACATATAAGCAATTTAAATTGTTATGGAGACTACTCATACATGTTTATATTATTTTCAAAATGGTGCTTTGTAGAAATGAGCTTTTTATGTGTCAGAGTAAAGTCATAAGACTTTAACAAATATCAGTAAACAATCAAATCATTAACTTTTTAAATAATTGTTTGTCGTTAAAAAAAAGCGATAGGATGATGGCTTAAACATGAATGGGATTGTAAACAATGTGACATAAGTCAATGAAATATACTAACAACTGAATAAATTAAATCTAATCAAATGTAAAGAACGAATGAAAGGTTGTGCAAGATCATGGGACGATTAAAGGTGGATACCAGCTAAGTGCTCACGCACGAGATTGAAAGTCCTTGGTTCGAGTCTTGCATACGAAGTCGTGGATGCGCACTGTTGAAGAGTCCCATACTAGAACAAAACGGCCGTCCGATGCTTCCAGGTTTTCAATGATAATCCATCTTATATCGAATCATGAATTCAACCATTAAAATGGAAAGAAATCTACTTTCAAAATATTACATTTAATCATGCGTGTTGATAGTAATTGAATGCTGTCATTTTGATCAATAAGTCACATGATAATCAAAGAAATAAAGTGATTAGTGTAATTTATGTTTTTGATGTAACTTCATTGTTGTGTTCTCCAAAATTAGATATAGATAGTTCAGTGATTAAATTCAGTTCATTTTATCGGATTGACTTTATCGTAAGTCTATGAGATATGGACGAAATGCTCCGATTTAAGATAACGAGTCTTGGATTTTGGCGCGAAATTCATTCATCCATATGGCTAAACAGCATTTTGATGTTATAAATAATGTCAATTCGTGATGATAATTCTACCACTAACTTATAACTTTAAGGTCCAATTGTAAATCCGAATCCTAACTCATTACATTAATTTATAACCCTATTTTAACCTGGAATAATTTCGCAAACATTCTCAAGGTCACTTTACTTTGCTGAAAGGTCCTTCATAAATTATAGATTCACCAATCTTGTTTATTAAATAATACGGTAACCATGATCAAAAGTATTAAGAATAGAACTAGTTTAGATTGACATCATTGGTGGATCAATGTTAAATCACAATTTGTATCGTATGTATGAAGAAATATTATGAGTTATTTTCAAACACTCACAATTTATAAACACATTTAGCTATCAGTATGGGATTGTGGAGATTGTTGAGTTTTGATTGAGATCATGAGTGGTTTCATGTTAGACCACCATCTCAAACCTGAAAGTACTAGACGGCCGTTTCGTACTAGTATGGGACTCCTCAATAGTGCACATTCACAATCCCGCACTCGCTACTCGAATCCGTGATATCAATCCAAACTCAACAAACTCCATATACTGATAATAAAATTAATGATAAGATGATATTCACAATAAAATTTAGGACACATTCATAAATCTTTAAATAAACGGTTACTATATTTAATATTTTATTAAGACTGTTCATTTTAAAGATAGTTTACGCTAAACAGCAGTTCACACATAAATGTTCTTGATATGGATCAAATCCAGGAAGTTCAGGTTTCCTAGCAAGCAAATAAAATTTAAATAATCAAGTTGGCTTTTATTAGCATAATACATTTTTACACTTAGAAATTTAACAGTATAGCAAAATTATCATCCGTCACCTTCTTTAATGACAGTATGGTGGAGAAGATTTGTAGCTCAGGTGGATGATTTTAATGGAGTTTTGTTCTCTGAGCTGGATAGTCTGGTCTGAGAGCTTTCATCGTTCTTCTACACAACATCATCAGAAAAGTTGTGAACCACATATGGAGAGATTTGAACACTTCACTTCTACCTGAAGTTTGTGCTGATGATGTCATTTAGAAGAGCAATCAAAGATCCACGACCAAACCATACAGCTCAGAAAACAAAACTCCATCAAAATCAATGACAGTATATCGTTGCTTTTTATCATTCTATAAATTTAAACTAACTTTCGATTTTATCTTTCAGTCCATTTTATTATTGGCATTTGTCTTGTTTGTCATTACATTTTGGACGAAACTCTCTGTTAAAATTGTTGAGCCAACATTGAATAAATTACGAATAGATGGTGTAAATAATCGAACCGTAATCGATGGAGTAAACAGTGTTGTACGAACTTTTACACGTAAGTTTATAATAATTTCAATAGTTAAGATCATGAGCCAATTGAAGCTAGACCACCAAGGAAAACCTGGAAGCACCAGATGACCGTTTCGTACTAGTATGGGAATCCTCAATAGTGCACATCCACGAAACCCCTTCTGATAATAATAATAATAATAACCTTATTTAATCTTATATGCTTGTATCTGTAGTGGCTAAGCTTCGTTTTTTAGGCGACTGGCATTTAAGTTAGAGAGATATGTGCGTAGGTTGTCACATGTGATCGAGAGTACATGTTTATACAGGCATGAAAATGATCATAATAATACAAAGAAATAGATGGATTACTACTGTTGGAATGACATTGTTAAATAAGTTCATATAAGAGCTTGACAAAATTAACCATAATCGAAATTAATCGTAGGAGTGTTGCTATATATCAACCATTTTAATTGTATATCTGATGGTATTTTACGTAACATAGAAAAAACATGATGAATTCACCAACCATTATGATAGTTTCTTTTATCTTTTACACTATAGAGCTGTGTTGTAGGCTGTTTATCGCATATTTTTTTTATCTAAATGCTTGTTTAATTAAAACCAATTTAACATGAACGAGTTCTCTGCAACTTTTTAGAAACAAAATAACAGTAGTTCTAAGCAATCTGGTAAGGTTAGTAACAGTTTAATGTTTGATAAGTTTATGAATAAGTTAAATAAGATTCAAGTAAATAGTGTGCATCAATCTGAGGTTATTTGTTAACAGATAAGCTGAAGCACAGTAAGGGATTCTGTGCGCTAAATATATAAGTTTACAAATGACTAATTTATTTCTAATTGAGATCATGAACCGATCAATGTTAGACCATTATTGAAAAAACCTGGGAGTACTGGACGGTCATCTCATCTTAATCTAGGACTCCTCAATAGTGCAGACCAGCGACACCTGTCACGGGACTCGGAATCGGGATCTTCAGTCTCGTGAACGAACGCTTCACC